CCTGAATGCTGTTAGTGAGAGAAAGATTACTCCATGGCATAAATATGCTGTATGTGCCCTTGTCTCATGCAATTTCTTTACTTCGATGTGTAGGAATATTGATCCCCAGTAGAAATGTTTAACTAATCTGGTAAATGTCAAGCCATATGATGTACGTTGTAAGGATTTCATCAGTGCTTTTTAACTCCTTCTGAAAGTCTCTCTCTTTTCATTTGTCCTTTGTTGCTGACCAGGTAGAGACTATTACGAAAAGTGTGAATGGTATCATTGGTATTTGCTGTACCTGGCAGCTGATGTTCCCAGGTTATATAAGCGGCACTAGTCAGAAATGCAAAGTTTGAGGCGCTCTTTTATGAAGAGTTAAGGGATATTCTGAGTGTAGTTTCTACATGCAGCGACCTGCAGAAAAAGATTCCTGTATATTTTTTATAACAAACTGTCCACCCCAACAATATACAAAGTACCCAGGGGGCTCCTATGCCCCTTATCACATCCTTTGATTAATCAAGCCTTAACAACAAATAAACAGCAGTTCCCCAATACTTTCAACTAAAGAAATGTTTTGGTACAGTAAGTATCTACAGTATCTCTCAGAAAGATAGAAAGCAATTTACAGTAAGCGATATCAAGAAAGAATAAACCATTATGCTTGTGCCAATGCTTATTCATGGTTTTATAACAAGACATATCTGTTTTCTTCATATAAATCTTGACTCTATATTTAGAGTTTGCAAATAATGACTCCAGCATTTGGCTGCCTGCCACGTCTGATAGAAAACTAGGATAGCTGCAGCACAAGACTATAATGTTAAGAAAAGGTCCGCTTGAACTCCATGTACTCCCAACAAAGTGAGAGCAGAATCTATTTAGTTGTATTAGTAACAACTGATGTGGATGGACGAACGAGGTCAGAGACTGTAAGAACCCTTCTGAAGTTCAGTTCAATCTTACACTGACTTCAAAATCCTTTTAATTAAAACAATATGCTTACTTAAGTACCCCACCCCCTTCCTGACCCTCAATGGGCCATCAGCCACTGTTATATCCAGCTATCTATAGGCCTGGCAGTCTCTGTTGGACATGGCTGCTGTCTTCTTGTCGTATGAGCTCCAGGACTCATCTAGGGTCTATTGACAGAGTCTCCGAGGGCAATGTATTCTGGGATACCTATTACCTACAAAACATTTTAACAGAAAAAACAACCAGATTCTATCACCATTACACCTATCCCTAGGACATTTAAAGTAGGAAGCTGGTTGGGGGGCAGGAGGGGGAGCTGTAGGTGAGGGAAAGGATAAAGATCTGGCTGGCTTGGAATGAGGAGAGAGAATAAAGAATGCAGTGAAAGGGGTACGCAAGGAAAAGCAGGGAGTTGACAGTGTTCAGATAAATTTGGCTCAGCATCCAAACTTCTAGGGAGAAGCTATATTTCCTGCATTGAACCTCTGAACTTTCTGAGACTCTTACAAGTGATTTACCTATAAAGAGGACTGGAAAAAAAGAGAATTGAAATAAACAATTCTCTGCTATTCAAACAACCATTCCCGCCCACACCCCGAGGGTCAAATGTTCAGCCACAGGGACACAGAAAGAAAGAAAGAAAGAAAGAAAGAAAGAAAGAAAGAAAGAAAGAAAGAAAGAAAGAAAGATCTTTACACAAATGCATTAGACCTAGTTTTCATTAATATAGCAAAAGTATATCAACCGTTAGTACAAAGTGCCTTTCCCAGATACCTGCCAACTCCCTAATTCCAAAATATTTATTGTTACATTATATTAAACATTTCATCATTAAGGACATCGACAAGTAATAGTACTACAGCTACTAGTGTAGCAATCTGAGCTTTGTTTTATGTGTGAGCATTTTGGAAGAGAGAGACAAGACTAAGTGGTAAACAAATTGGAAGAAGAAGAAGAAGAAGAAGAAGATATTAATAATTAACAAGAAGCAATTGTCCAAAGACTTTTGCTGTGAAAGTAATGAGATGAATGTATCAACTAGGTCACTCTGTGTGTGTGTGTGTTTGTTTGTGTGTGTGTGTATACACAAATATATATATATACTTGTGCTAATGTGTTTCTAATAACAGCATTATCTGGCTACATAGACTGCTCATCTCTGAGCAACCTCTCAGTATTCAGGAAGTTGTTGACAAGAACTTTTGCAATAGCCTGTGCAATTTTGTGTTATTTCCTCTAACTGAACCAATAAGACCCTCACTTGTGCACACATGACCTTTGCACTGAAGTCTAATTTGAAATTAGGATAGTCTGAAAGTAAGAGATAGGGAGAGGCATTTTAGTTTAACATGCAGAATTATTTCCATAGTAATGTGAAATTAAGACCAATTTCAGTGCTAAGATCCTTTCAGCCCTCAAACCAATCTGCTGTCAAAGGGATCTTTGAAAGAACAGCAGAGAGACAATAAAGTATTGTGATTTTCAAAAAAAGTTAAATAAGCTCATCTTTGTCTCTGTGCTGAGTGTTTCAAGGCTTGTAATAAAGATGAAACCTATGACTTTCAGTCCTTGATGTCTCACCCACTAGGACATTCAGAAGTCTCTTTGGAAAACTTATATAAGAGCATACAATATGTCATTTCAGTTTCATGCTTCTTTGTGGTTCCTACATTTTTCTGGCCTGGCACTGGAGGCTGCAATATTTAAGCCATAAGGGGTAGCTTGGGGGTTGGATAAGACAAGCTGGTTAGTGGGAGAGGAAGGTTTGGGGAAAGAGGAGAAAGGGTTGTTTTATGGTGAAAGAGAGACAGAGATAGAGACTTGGATGGATGGATAGCTGGATAGGTGTATAATATTATGGGTGCAACCGTGGAAGACTGGTTAAGATCCAAATGAAAATCTGACCGATAATCTTTTCTTAATCTTTTAGTTGGACCTGTGGCTTGTCCTATTGATGCCTAATAACCTGAAGATACAGGCGTGGCCTAGTGATCTGACCACAGTTCAGGAACAAAGTCCTCCTGAAGTGTAATCCTTGCTCTGACACTGTTCAGTGTGTGGCTGTGGGCAAGTCATGGAGGGCTCTGTGCCCTTCTGAACACAGTCCACATGAGCCCATCCCAAAGGAGAAGAAAACAGTGGTGTCCCTTTTCCCTGGTCACACCCCTTATGCCTGGTGGCCAGGAGGAAAAAATAACAAAGAGCCACTGTGCTGGCTTTATACCACCTGCTGTGAAAGAGGCAGCTGGGAAAAGGATAAGGATCTGGAGGGCAGTTAAGCCAATAACATGGCCCTTTCACACTTCTGGAGCTCCATAAGGGGACATTGAGATTCTGACCTGGCGCATTACTTTTCCCTAAACAGTAATGGTCATAGATATCTGATCCTGTAGTTGCTCCATACATGGAACTCCCTGTGACATCAACAGGAGCTGCTCACAAGTGTGTCTGCAGCAAAAGGCCCAGGAATTGCTGACTGAAAAATAAATTTAAAGAAAAAAACCCTTTAACATGGGTAAAACAGAACAGGAAAGAAAACCAAAACAATCCCAAATATCATATTGTTCCTTGTATTTACACATGCATATATTGTCAGGCTGACACGTTACAGTAATGTGAACAGTTCACTGTGTTTTGGCAGATGATTATGTCATAATGACTAAAGTCTGGTCATTTTTCTCTGCAAATTATGACATTGTGAATCTTGTGTTTAAATTCTAATACTCTTCTATTTTGTTGCTTTTCTTGTTTGAATGATTAGAAAATTAGGAAATGATTCTTTTTAAAGAGATACTCACAGCATGTGAACAGCATTTGTGTCATATTCCATGAATTCTGAAGCCACTGAAAACATGAACAATATGTCAGCTTGTTCCTGTCTTTGCGAGAGAATTCAAGGTCAAGCTGACCAGTGAACTCCAAAATTTAAACAGACTAAGTCAGCCCTCATGTATAGCACTGAAACTGCCTTTAGGAAATATTTTAACCCTCTGCTGGGCCCCTTGACAGTACACTGAGTATCATGGCTTTTAAGGCAACCCTGTTGCTGTCAATAATATATGGACATACTGCATATGTCCACGGTGCCTAAACAAGTGTTCCTTCTTTCGATGCATATTATCCATCTGAGGCCCTCAAGGGGTTAATACATGCCATTCCAAAGTTCAGGGAAGGGACAATAAGAACTGAACAGCGGGAATTTCAGAATGTTAATAGCCTGTTCTCTTCCGATTGGCCCAGAACGAATGCAGGGTACAGTAAATTGTCCTTGTCAGCTTAGGCTCACATGATGATATGCTTTATTTCTAGACATGCCTTGAATCTGTCCCTTGAATTTATGTTCAGAAAATAAACACTTCCAGACGGCAATAAAGCATTCAGTTGTAGCTGGCTGTTGCACAGTCTCAAACCAACCGCAGCTCTTTCCTTCAGAGTTTCTAGAGCTTGCACAATCTCAGTTCCGCGCATGTATTTCCTTCACTTAACTCTTACTTTAGCAAGTACCCCACACTATTCCAGGGAATGTTCCACCTTATCCCAACACTGTAGATCAAGAGACTTTAAGTGAACTTCCATTTGAGCATTATCCTGACACACTACATCAGACAATAGGGTCCATGCAAACCAAGGCACCTGACCCTTCTTTTCTGTACAATAAACCATGCTGGATCAGTGAAGGAGAGGGGAAAGTAGCAGCAAATTGCAAAAATAAAGATATCAGTGATTCAGGATATGAATTTTTCCATCATAAAAATTAAATTAAACAGCTGTTACCTTTTTGTCTGATGGGCTAAGGGAACAACTGGAGGCTGGCTGATTTACTGATTAGGTAGCGTGTATGCAATAATCTCCAGATGTTACTGATATACACCCAGATAGTGCTGCAATGTTTCTTGCACCTAGTAATTTTTATGGCCATACTCTCTCTCTCCACCACGGTTCTTCTGGATATCACTAGTGTATAACTCTGTGTATCTACAGAACCAAAGAACTTGACAAAAATCAACAGGAAATGTGCATAAGAGGCAAGAAAAGAGCAATGCAAATAAAAGGTTCAGTTTATTAAACATGCAAATGTGTGGGTATTAAAATGCCTTTTCCACCCCAAAGGCACCAAAAGAAGAAATGTTAAATGGTATCCACAAAGTTCAGGGCTGGATACTACCTGGAAAACGCCTGTTGAAATGAGTTTGGTGCTATTCATTTTGAGCCAATTCAGCAAAGCATTTAAACTCATACATAAATCCATACCCATTCACCAATACACTGAAACATGATGATGGGGCGATCACTCGTTACCAAGTATGATCATCTTCCATGAGAGTTATGGGTCCTCAGGTGGCTAATAAGGCCAATCCTTGAACCACGGGTTCTATTGCAATGAGGGCAGATGTCTTCAGGCTCAGCAGGAGGCTGTTGACCATGACTGGAAGCCAGTGTCTCCTTCTTTCTGTACCTCTTGTCCTCTTCAGCTTGTCGGCGAGCAAGTTCCAAATGCAGGGGACCACCATGTAGGACTTCACTCTATTTTGAGCGATCCTGGACAAGTGTCTCCCAAGTGTCAATGTCAATATTACACTTTTTTAGATTGTCCTTCAGTAAGTCCTTATAACACTTCCATTGTCCACCCACGTTACGGTACCCTTCTTTCAGCTGGGAGAACAGGATCTGTTTCGGGAGGCAATAGTCTGGCATCCAGACAACGTGACCAGTCCTGCAAAATTGCTGATGGATGATCATTGCCTCAATACTGGTGGTCTTTGCCTTTTCCAGGACACTAATATTGGTGAGCCTGAAACATATGCTTAAGTCAAAATCAAAGGAAATTAAAAGGAGTACTTGGGGCACCTTAGAGACTAACAAACTTATTTGAGCATAAGCTTTCGTGAGCTACAGCTCACTTCATTGGATGCAGCCAATGAAGTGAGCTGTAGCTCACGAAAGCTTATGCTCAAATAAGTTTGTTAGTCTCTAAGGTGCCACAAGTACTCCTTTTCTTTTTGCGAATACAGACTAACACAGCTGCTATTCTGAAACCTGTCAAAAGGAAATTAAGTATGTCCTTATAGTTAAGCATGTACTTATGAGATTTGCAGAATCATGGCCTAAGTAAATATGTTGTTAGAATGTTTACTGGTCTGCAGGGCTGATACCATGTTTCTTCATCAGCATTTCTGACCTGACTCAGAAATGTTACTTGAAGGTACTCATGGGTACATTGTAAGTGTAAGCAGTGTCAGGATGAGCTCCACCCTGACATCTGGTGGTGAGGTGTGGCAAGTTGTGGAAAAGAACTTCAGGGGCCGATCTCATTTGCATAGGCACACCCACCACGCCTAGAATGAGACCGTAGCTGCCCAAATGGTCACTTTGGCTGCTGTGGGATTCCCCAGTGTCTCTGTTATTGGGGCAGGAAGAATAAATTGTTATTACCCTGATTATGGGAACTGTGCTTGGAACTGTACGTGGCCTTTTGTTATGATGGAGGGATTCACCATCAACTAAGTAGCACTCGCTAGGCAAGGGTCATGGGTTCCAAAACTGTGTGAATGGAGAGAGGCTGGGGACAAGTAGTAATACTTGGTGGCATGGGCCCCTTGGTGAGGGCCTTACATGCTAATTGCACTTCCTCCTCTCTCCACTGTGGAATATCAGAGCTAATTTTGATTTCATTAGAAGTCTAGTTATAGGCTGCTGAGCTCACTTTGGGCTGACAGTGCACCAGCACTGGGGCTCCCCTACTACAAGCTGAATTCACCTAAGAGCTGAAATCACTGAGTGTTGTGTTAAGTAGTGGGGGGAGCCTGAAGATATATTGTGGAGCAGTTTGCGGGACAGCTGGTGAAGCAGTTTGACGCGGAGCAGTGTGTGGCTGCCAGGAGCTGCTTGTGGGCCGTGGAGCTGAGCGAAGGAGTTTGTGGGGCGGCTGGCGGAGCGGAGCGCAGCTGAGCGAAGGAGTTCGTGGGGCGGCTGGCGGAGCGGAGCGCAGCTGAGCGAAAGAGTTTGTGGGGCGGCTGGCGGAGCGGAGCGCCGCTATGGAGCTATGGGGCGGTCAGCTTCAGATCATGTAAGGTGCCTCTTACCCCCATCCCATTTCCACCCAGGTTGGGAGGTAAAGCTCTGCAGATAAAATTTCGAACTCTGGGGCTGCCCTGACCAGGGACAGAGACTTTTGGGGCATTGGACTTTTGGGACTTTGGGTGATTTGAGGTTGCTGGACTCAAGAACCAAAGGGAAAAGGGCATGCCCCAATTTGCCTGGGGTGGGTTTTTTTTGTTTTTTTTGCTCATGGGTTGTGTTATGAATCCTGTTGGTGGTGTTTCCCCAACATAATGCCACATTGTTTCTCTCTGTTATTAAAAGGCTTTTGCTACACTCAGACTATGTGCTTGCGAGAGGGGAAGTATTGCCTCTTGGAGGCGCCCAGCGGGGGTGGTATATATTTGTCCCAGGTCACTGGGTGGGGGCTCGAGCCGGTTTGCATTGTGTTATTGGAATGGATCCCCTAGATATTGAACCCGGCCCTTGTTGCTGCCAACTCTGACGGGCAGAAGGGTTACATAAGCTAAATATCTACCTACCAATCCACCTAAAAGTATTCCTCAAATAACTGTACCTTCAAAACAGGTCAAATTTCTATCATACTGGGATAAAACCTTGTGAAAATAATTCATGATATTTCAGTTCCATCAGATCCAAAGCCTAATCTCGTTAAGGTTTTGAACCAAATCCTAGCTTAATTTTGCTCTCACATCCAGATATCAACCCTCCAGTTTAATTTTTATTATAAAGTAATTATTGCTTAAAGCAGGGTGCCCAAAAGAAGTGCCTCCAGAAATAAACTACCTCATTGTGACTGGGATGCCATTATGGTCTCATTCCAACCAGCGTAATGTCCTCTGGAAGTGGGAATTCTGGGGATGATGCACTGGAATTTGGCAGGTTCCAGTAGTTTGTAATGGTTTTTCCTGTAAGTAAGGTATTTGTGGGGTACTCCCTGCATCCATTGCTTCTAAAATAGCGAGAAAGAGAAAAACACATTGAGAGATAAGTTATGGCAGGGATCGGCATACTTTTGGCTTGTGGCCCATCAGGGAAACTTGCTGGCAGGCTGGGATGGTCTGTTTACCTGTGGCACCCACAGGTTTGGCCAATCGCAGCTCCCGCTGGCTGTGGTTCACCATTCCAGGCCAATCGGGGCCTCAGGAAGTGGCGGCCAGCACATCCCTTGGCCTGCATCACTTCCCGCAGCCCCCATTGGCCTGGAACAGTGAACCAGCCACGTGAGTACTGGGGTATGGGAGAGTGCAGAGGTTCAGTGCCTGAGTGAAAGCAGAAGAAGCAGGCATAGTGCCTCCAAAGCCTTTCACGGGAGTGTACTCAGAAGCAGCAGGTATTACACCCTGAAGCAGCATGTGCTGCCCACAGTGCCCGCTTGTGAGTGCTAGTGTACTCACTCAGTGTGTGCCTCATATCCCTGGCACATATCCCCAGTCCACAGAGGATATGTGCCAGGAACAATAACACTTGGAGAGTATTAGCAGTTTGTACTTTTAGCTCTGGAGGGTACCAGTTCAATCCCCACCCAGTGCATCAACCTAGATGGCAGCCATCACACACAGATCATAGGATCATAGAATATCAGGGCTGGAAGGGACCTCAGGAGGTCATCTAGTCCAACCCCCTGCTCGAAGCAGGACCAAATCCCAGTTAAATCATCCCAGCCAGGGCTTTGTCAAGCCTGACCTTAAAAACCTCTAAGGAAGGAGATTCCACCACCTCCCTAGGTAACGCATTCCAGTGCTTCACCACCCTCCTAGTGAAAAAGCTTTTCCTAATATCCAACCTAAACCTCCCCTGCTGCAACTTGACACCATTACTCCTTGTTCTGTCATCTGCTACCCTGAGAACTAGTCTAGAGCCATCCTCTTTGGAACCCCCTTTCAGGTAGTTGAAAGCAACTATCAAATCCCCCCTCATTCTTCTCTTCTGCAGACTAAATAATCCCAGTTCCCTCAGCCTCTCCTAATAAATCATGTGCTCCAACCCCCTAATCATTTTTGTTGCCCTCTGCTAGACTCTTTCCAATGTTTCCACATCCTTCTTGTAGTGTGGGGCCCAAAACTGGACACAGTACTCCAGATGAGGCCTCATCAATGCCAAATAGAGGGCAATGATCGTGTCCCTCAATCTGCTGGCAACGCTCCTACTTATACAGCCCAAAATGCTGTTAGCCTTCTTGGCAACAAGGGCACACTGTTGACTCATATCCAGCTTCTCGTCCACTGTAACCCCTAGGTCCTTTTCTGCAGAACTGCTGCCTAGCCCCTTGGTCCCTAATCTGTAGCAGTGCATGGGATTCTCCCGTCCTAAGTGCAGGACTCTGCACTTGTCCTAGTTGAAACTCATCAGATTTCTTTTGGCTGAAACCTCTAATTTGTCTAGGTCCCTCTGTATCCTATCCCTACCCTCCAGCGTCTCTACCACTCCTCCCAGTTTAGTGTCATCTGAAAACTTGCTGAGGGTGCAATCCACGCCATCCTCCAGATCATTAATGAAGATGTGAGAGGGAAAGCAGGGGGAGATGTGCCATGCCCTCAGCCCTCTCAATCATGCCCCTTTTAGTGCATGCAGGAGCAGAAGGAGTGCTGGCTCCCTTCACTTGTACTCAGAAAGCACTCATTTCAGATCTCTGGGGCTGTCTACAGCATGGGTATAATGGAGGCAAGAGGTTCCCTACATTCCATGCGCCCATACAGAGAAAACCCCAGACCCGTACGTGGTTTATTTATACTTTCAAAGGGTTTTGATAAGGGCCATCCCAAGAGGCTATTAAGGAAAATTTGGCAACCAATATTCTGCCATAGATTACAAACTGGTTAAGAGATAAGAAGATAAAACTAGGAATACATGACCAATTATCAGATTGGAATAAAGTTAATAGTATTGTGGTTCACGAATGAACTGAAAAAGGTGGTGGCATAGTAAGGTGGCAAAATCTGCTGACTGACAGAAGTGAATTGTTTCTATTGGACAACACTAAGAAGGATCACTAGAAGGACCTAACCGAGTGAGACACCTGGGGAATACGATGGCAGGTGGAATTCATTGAAAAGAATTTCCAGGTAATACACATAGGGAAAAAAAAGTAAACCACTTATACTTGCTGCTGGGCATCTGAATTAGTCGTAGCTTTTAAGGACATTATCTAGGTATTAATGGGTATGTCTACACTTCAATTAAAAACCTGCAGCTGGCCCATGCCAGCTACTTGGGCTCATGAGGCTCAGGCTAAGAGGCTGTTTAAGTGCAGTGTAGATGTTCAGGCTCGGGCTGGAGCCCAGGCTCTAGGACTCTGAGAGATGGGAGGGTCCCAGAGCTTGGGCTGCAGCATGAGCCCGGGCTGCAGCATGAGCCCCAACATCACCAGCAACGAAAATACTACAGGCCAAATTAGGCCCTCAGTTATACCTGTTCAACCATTTTGTTTTCAAATTACGCTCTGTGTGACATCTGTGCAATGGCATAGTCTTCAGCAGGTTTGCACAGGTACAACTGATTAGAAGCAAACATCTGTTAACGATGTACAAGAAAGGACAATACCCTGGTCCCTCTCTGTAACAAGTGTCAGCTTTGAGCAAAAATCAATAAAAAAAATGTCTTGTTATCAAAGTAAGCAGATGTGACTCTGTTGCACAAAGGGAATGGATCTGTTGAGTAAGAAGATGTCATTTTTAAATAGGGCCCAACTGTGCAACCCTTCATTGCTGAGGACCCACTCATGCAGTTAGCCCCACCAATATCAATGGAGCTACTCATGTGAGTAAGAGCTGCACAACAGGGCCCATACTGTCCTTTCAGAGTGCTACTCCATAATAAGGTGCACTGTGGAGGGCATGGAAAATATTACAGTGTCCATGTATAAATCAACGGTAGCTCCTCAGCTTGAATACCAAGGATGGTACTCACAACTATTTGCCTTCAGGAAAGATTCAGATCTCCAAATGGGAATATAGCCCCCGCTCACCACTCACTGGGCCTAATTATTTCTCAGTACCTGGCTCCTGGATGGTTCAGGAAACCACTGAGTGCCAGGAAATGAGCTATCTCTAGCACTTCTGGGGGCCAGAGAAGCCGCTGCCAGGAGAATGGAAGAGAGCTGGAGAAAGGATGTGGAGCTGATTAGCACTCCTGTCTCTATCATTTTAGGTGGAGTATTCCTTATGTTGGCCCCAATTCAGTTCTAGGGGACTATTCATGTGCCTTACTTTAGGCATGTGCTTAACAAACTCACTGAATCGGGGCCTTTAAGAGGCTGATTTTATCAAAACAATTGTAAATATTTAAGAATATGACTAGATGGGGTTGAATAATATTTGATAAACAATTTCTTTCCTTCATCCTCCCCACCCCCAGCTCCATGTCTGATACACCACAAGCAGGGAGAATGTAGGAAGTGTTTTCTTTGCTAGCATGGCGTGTTTTATAAAGCATGTAGAATCCTACAGGAAGCAAAAGGGTATTTACATGAAAGATACCCACCTCCTCTTTTCCCCTTCTACTTCTCATTCACTCTCTTTCCCTTCCCACCTTCTTGTTCCCGTCTCTTCTTCCCTTACTCCTCCTATTCAGGGACTCCAAAGGACTAATTCAGCACTGCACTGGCAGAGATAATTTAAAACAATGAGTATATTTTCAGGTAGGGGAGAGTTTTAAGGGTGGAGTATTGTGCACATTTTACAGAAGATAGGGACTTTACCTTCACTAGATACACGCTCCATCATTAGCCACCATTGGCCCATCCTATCTCATCAAATTGAATTCCATATTTTCAGCATAGCTCCACCATATTTCTAACATAGCCCATTTAAAACATATATTGTTCAAAATGTGCATTGTACTTCAGTCAGAGCAGTTTATAGAGCGCATGCCTTAAACTCCTTTGGTTTCTTGATGTAGCCTGATTACCATAATCAAACATCCCTACACATGTGTAACAGATAAGTAAAATTCTTTACATTCTTCAGTCCTCACTTTATTTTATTCTTTCTTCCCTCCTTTTGACTATTCAGTTCCTGAGGGTTCAGGACCAGAAGCACTGGAAATTGAAACCCTCTGTTTACCCACACAAGCAGAAACAGTCAAAGCTTCCTTACCACGCTGCAGAAATGACCTGAACACTGACCTGAAGGGACCACCCTCTTGAGAGATGAAAAGTCATTCCGTCTCCATGCAAGATCTGCTCAGGGGATCTCTTGAAGAGAGTGAGAAAGATTGCAAATCATCCAAACCGTGCCACATTATGTGTGAAGGTTTTGTAATGCAGACTACTGTCCACTAGGGATTAAATTAAGAACATCAAACCCAAAACACAGAGAATCTCATTTTATACTTAAACTCTAGTTGTAATGTTTTATTCAGTTCATTACAACAGCCTCCTCTCTCCAACATATCTACCCACTACAAAATATAGGAAGAAATTGTGTAATTTTTGAAGATGACCCTATACATCTACCAAGAAAGACTCTTGCTTTTAATTCACTAGCCAGCACACATTATGGAATCACAAATTCCTATCTGAGTGATGCAGTCATTCCTATTAATACAAAAAACAAACTACAGTCACTGTATTCATACACTATTTTTGCTATCTAAACATGCATGAAACACTTAAGTTAAAGGTCAGACATAAGCACTTGACACCAGGATGCTCAGGCTTAAGTTTGAAACACTAGTATTAACTAACCTTATTGTGCTCAGATATTTTAAGTTACACATTACTGCATGCCACAGCACTCACTGCTTCAAGTCCTGAGAGAGGACTGTTTTGGCTGAAATAACTAGACACAATCGGATGGCTTATATTTCAGGCTTATCTTTAAAGTAAAGTACATTTTATTTCCTAGTTACAGTAACATAGACTCTCAACTTTATTTTAATATAGTTTTTACCATGTGTATTTCCTCTAGTTTAGTTTTTGGAGTATTCTTCATGTTATTAAAAACAAACAACAACTCAAAGGTGCCGGAGCGGGGAAGGGGCTAAAATCCCGCGTGGGAGGGTTGCATGTTGTTTGCCTGGTTGTCTTTGATGGGTCTAACAGAGCTATAACAATGTATCAGGCAAATTCTCAGGGCTCAGTTACCCTTGTGCAGCGAGAGGTGCACGGTAGGTAGTATACTTGGCCAGGAGCAGAACTTCCTGCATTTTTACAAAGGTGCAAAAAGAAACAAAGGGTTATCTCAGCTTGCCTGATCACTTTTTCTATGGGGTGCTCCAAGCCCCTCTTTTGTGCTAGGTGTGGCTAGCATCAGCATTCTAGCTGCCTTCTGTGCAGTTATATAAGGGAGGAAGGGGACTCTCCCCCTCCAGCATACCCCTGCAGGGGCAGTCACAGTTTTCCCATTCACCTGTTTTTATAATGTGAGCATCTTTGTGGCTTCTAAATATATGGACCATTTCCCTGACAAGACACTTTTGGAGCTTCCTTTAAATCATTGTTTTCAGGCCTGTAGACACTGGGTGGAAAAGAGAAGAGAAGGGATTACTGTTAATAGCTATCACAGTCTGTCATCCCTATCCACCTTAAAGTACATGGGAAAGTCATGCGGTCTAGTAGAGCCGGGAAATGGGAGTCAGGAAACTTGGGATATACTCCTGACTCTACCAATAGCTCCTTTGTGTCCTTGGATTTAACCTCTCAATGTCTCCACTTCCTCATCAGTAACAGGGGATAAAATCACAGCACACAGGCAGTGGGTAAAGTACTTGATGATCCTCAGATCAGAGATGCTGTGTCTCTGGTGGGAAGAACACCTGGCAATGGAGTAGTGGCACAGTGCATCTGCAACCCCTGCTGTGACAGAGGCACTGGACATGGCCACTGGTGAACTAACAGTGAGTGAGGCTCTGCTGGCTGGGGAGAGATAACACCCAGCATGCCTGAAAAATAGATGGATTCAACATGTCTCCCCAGCAACATGCACCAGCTTGGGTGAACCAATGGATACTGTTCTGAGGGTCCATGAATCGTGGTGGGAAGGAGTAAGCAGAGGAGAAACTGAGGCAATTCAACATGTCCACCTTCCTCCCCAAAATATTCAGCCACAGTTGAGTTACAACGTTTTTGTTAAAAAAACAAAGCAAAAAACAAAGCTTAGGAAGCCACTGGATTTCCATTTGTGCAGCTACTTCCCAGAATGGTGAAAGGGTCTGACTGTTATCCCCCAACCCCCACAAATTTTGTTTAAACAACTGAAAAATCCTGGGCTGAGACTGCATACCCCAAAGTACAGTATAGAGCAAGCATTTATGGTTGGGTTTTGATTAGTTGAAAAGAGGGGTTCAGAAAAGTGACTGCAAGAGACCTTTTACATGCACTATAGAACCATGCAAAACTTTTCGTCATACAGTTTGCATCAAATTATAAAAAATCCCTTGACGCCTTCAGTACCTTTTCATTCTCACACTGTAAACCAGGGGTGGGCTAACTATGGCCCACAGGCTGGAGCCAGCCCCTCTGGGCTTTGGATCCGGCCCGCGGGATTGCCCCCCATGGTGCCGCAGGCCCCGCGCTGGCCCCACGTCCCTGGGAACAGGGAACCGCGGCCAATGGGAGCTTTGAGGGAGGTACCTGGAGGCGTGGCAAGGGCAGTGCATGGAGCCCTGTGCTCCCCCTCCCCCAGGGGCCGTGCAGGGATGTGGTGCCGGTGGCTTCCCGGAGCGGTGCTGCGTGGGGCTAGGGCAGGCATGCAGGAAGCCTGCCCTGGCCCTGGTGCGTGCTGCTGCCACCCCGGAGCAATTTTAGGTAAGCGGCACCGGGCCGGAGCCCGAACCACTCCTGCCCCCTCCCCCCCAACTCCCTGCCCTAAGCTCCCTGCCTGCACCTTGCGCACCTCCTGCACCCCAACTCCCTGCCCAGAGCCCCCTGCTGCACTCGGCACCCCTCCTGAACCCCAACCCCCTTCCCTGAGCCCCCTCTAACACCCCACACTGCTCCTCTGCCCCAATCCCTTGCCCTGAGCCCATTCCTGCACAGCCCCGTCCCACACCCCGCACTCCCTCCCGCAACCCAGCCCCCTGCCCTGGCCCTTTCCCCACCCAGATGTGGCTCTCAGCCCAAAACGTTTGCCCACCCCTGCTGTAAACTATTACAGGGAGGTCTTTTTTCCCTCTTTCCTTTATTTTTAGTCTTTGCTACTAAAATTATGTATATATTATTATATATATTTATTAATATTATATATATATTATTATTAATCTTATCTTATCTTATTAATCTTATCTTATGATACACAAAGTGAGGGCTAGTTCTAGCATGAGGCCAATTTCATTGCATCTTTGTGTAGCATGCTCTAAAATCATTTGCCTCCGTTTGTTATATACATGTGTTACACTACTTAGCACAGCAGAATTAACTAAAGACAGTGTGCCAGGTGCTACCCTCACTTCTACCGGTGTAACTCTAGAGCAACTACTTTGAAATCAATGGTGTGACAGAATGGAGAATTTAGCCCAGAACATGGTTACATTGGAATAATTTTCCTTTTGGTGGTGTGCACAGTATGTATCTCATGGTTTCCTTAAAGTGCCACATTTTTTGCAGACTCTAAAGAGCATAGACAGTTAGAAGCAGCAGAACCCACAAAAACTCACTCATGCCCATTACTCCCACAAAATTCTGTATTCAGGCAGGGAAACAAGCACTTCCCTAACACACATCCAATTACCCACTTTTACCCACTGTCCCATGTTGGTAGGCTATGTAGAACAGGGCCATCTCAGTGAGAGCACCAGGAGGCACTGAGTATAATCCCAGACACACAGGGTTAGAACACCCACTGCCTCACCCTTTCAGGGTAGTAGCCATGCTGCTCACTTCCTGCATCTGACCAGTGGGCAAGCCATGACCCTGCCTCCTCTTCAGTCCCTTTTGTGCCCAAGGAGGCCCAACAAGGCCCTGCTGTCAGCAGAGCATAGAGTGTGGGAAAGTGGAGCTGGAACAGCATCATGGTAGGATGGTCTTTGTGAAGGTGCTTGGTGGTCCCTGAAAGACCAGGTTTCTATTCTTGGCTCTGTCACTGATTTCCTGTGTGACCTTGAGCAAGGCCTCAATTCCCCAGCTGTCACAAGGGGATAATAATAACCAGTTTGACAATAATGAGGGCAATAAAGAAATATTTGGAAAGAGAATGAAAGTCTAATGCTAAAAAGAGATTCAAAGGATGGGGAAGGAGAATTTCTGGTGCCCTCCCCCTGCTCCCCTTCCCCCTCTCCCCCCCGCCCCGATCAAACATGGTGCATGGTACAATCTGGCCTATAGTTTTTATTAGTAAACTGGTACTGGTGTACAGATCACAGAACTTTGATTTCCTGCAGACCCTGTAAAAAGTAATTATTTTTAAGTATTCATAATTCAAAAGCATTTCCTCCATATTTAATAAGTGTATAAACAGTTTCTAATAATTGCAAGCCCAGTAGAATGTAGCTGCGGTACCTTTTATTTTGTATGACGCTTTGATACCAACCAAACACATGCCCTACTAAAGCAGGCTTTAATCTATTGATCTACCAACCTACATATCCACACAACTATTTACTACACATGGGATACATTTCTGAGTGCCATCAACTTCAGTTGAAGTTAGTTAGCCCAGGCCTGAAAGGTCCTGAGTATCTTGAACTCACACTGCAGTCAATGGCTGTTGAGGGCCCTCAGAAGCTCATAGTAGCTGCTCAGCATCTTGCAGTATCAAGGCTTCATTCTCTTTCCAAATATTTCCCTAGGTACTTATATGAAACTCAGTAACATAGTATTTGAGTGCTTCATAAACAATGAATTTAGCCTTATTCAACCTTTGTGAGGTAAGCATGCATTATTAAGCACTATTATACCCATTTTAGAGATGGGAAACTGAAGCACAGAAAGACTGAGAGACTTGTCCAAGGTCACAGAGGCAGTGGTGGTAAAGTCAAGAATAAAACCATGATTTCTTGAGGAGCAAACCAATGCATTCACCACAAGACTATCCTTCTCCTTCTGCAGTTCATTTGCTTTTGTTAATTTATCTTAGGAAACAAAAACAGTATTCTGAGGAGTATCTGAAAGTAGAACACTGATGATCAAATAGAACACTGATCAATGGCTTGATGTCCAGTTGGCAGCCAGTATCAAGCGGAGTACCCCAGGGGTCGGTCCTGGGGCCGGTTTTGTTCAACATCTTGATTAATGATCTGGATGATGGGATGTATTGCACCCTCAGCAAGTTCACAGATGACACTAAGCTGCGGGGAGAGGTAGATACACTGAAGGTTAGGGATAGGGTTCAGGATGACCTAGACAAATTGGAGGATTGGGCCAAAAGAAATCTGATGAGGTTCAACAATGACACTTGCAGAGTCCTGCACTTAGAATGGAATAATCCCATGCACCACTACAGGCTGGGGACAGACTGGCTAAATTGCAGTTCTGCAGAAAAGGATCTGGGGATTACAGTGGGTGAGAAGCTGGATTGAGTCAGCAGTGTGCCCTTGTTGCCAAGAAGGCTAACAACATATTGGGCTGCATTAGTAGGAGCATTGATTATTCCTCTCTATTCGGCACTGTTGAGGCCACATCTGGAGTATTCTGTCCAGTTTTGGGCCTCCCACTACAGAAAGGATGTGGACAAATTGGAGAGAGTCCAGCAGAGGGCAACCGAAATGATCAGAGGGCTGGGGCACATGACTTATGAGGAGAGGATGAGGGAACCGGGCTTGTTTAGTCTGCAGAAGAGAAGAGTGAGGGGGGATTTGATAGCAGCCTTCAACTATAAATATATCAGAGGGATAAATACCAGAGAGGGAGAGGAATTATTTAAGCTCATTACCAAGAACAAATAGATATAAACTGGTCATTGGGAAGTTTAGACTTGAAATTAGACAAAGGTTTCTAACCATCAAAGGAGTGAAGTTTTGGAATAGCCTTCCAAGGGAAGCAGTGGGGGCAAAAGCTCTATCTGGCTTTAAGATTAAATTCGATAAGTTTATGGAGGAGATGGTATGATGGGATAACATGATTTTGGTAATTAATTGATCTTTAAATATTCATGATAAATAGGTCCAATAGCCTGTGATTGGATGTTAGATGGGGTGGGATCTGAGTTACCCAGGAAAGAATTTTCTGTAGTATCTGGCTGGTGAATCTTGCCCATATGCTCAGGATTTAGCTGATCGCCATATTTGGGGTCAGGAAGGAATTTTCCTCCAGGGCAGATTGGAAGAGGCCCTGGAGGTTTTTCGCCTTCCTCTGTAGCATGGGGCACGGGTCACTTGCTGGAGGTTCTCTGCTCCTTGAAGTCTTTAAACCACAATTTGAGGACGTCAATAGCTCAGACATAGGTGAGAGGTTTTTCGCAGGAGTGGGTGGGTGAGATTCTGTGGCCTGTGTTGTGCAGGAGGTCAGATTAGATGATCATAATGGTCCCTTCTGACCTTAGTATCTATGAATCTATGAATCTACCTGAAAGGGGGTTCCAAAGAGGATGGAGCTCAGCTGTTCTCAGTGGTGACAGATGACAGAACAAGGAGCAGTGGTCACAAGTTGCAGTGGGAGAGGTCTAGGTTGGATATTGGGAAACACTATTTCACTAGAAGGGTGGTGAAGTACTGGAATGGGTTACCTAGGGAGGTGGTGGAAGCTCCATCCTTAGAGGTTTTTAAGGCCTGGCTTGACAAATCCTTGGCTGGGATGATTTAGTTGGTGTTCGTCCTTCTTTGAGCAGGGGGTTGGATTAGATGACCTCCTGAGGTTTCTTCCAACCCTAAACTTCTATGATTCTATGAAAGCCTCTGCAATAAGATCATTTGAATGGCAGTATCCAGAGCCTCATTGGCTAAGGTGAGTAAAATATATTGAAAGAGCAGAATGTTATTGTTTTATATCAGCGTTTCTCAAAAGGGGGTCTCAAGGCTACTGTAGAGGGGTCACGAGATCACAAAAAATATTGCCAGGGGGAAGTGGTAGAGGAGTACAGTAGCTGCCGGTCTCTGGCTGCCCAACTCTGAAGGTAGCACTGTCCCCAGCAGCAGTGCAGAAGTAAGGGTGGCAATACTCCTATGAGTATGCACAGTAATTTGCTATCACTCCTTTTTATGGGGGGAGGTCACAGTCTGAAATATTTTCAAAGGGGAGCCCAGCCAAAAAAGTTTGAGAACCCCTGGTTTATATAAACGTGCACACTCACCAAGCATAGTCCCTGAAAAATCTACATGTTATTGTAGTAGGTGAAACAACATCTTCTACAACATGATATGATGCCATTAATGCTTATACTTGTATCATCCTCAGTACTGATTTATTGTGACCTTGTAAGGCAGTAAAATCCTGGAATTTCATATGGCTATGGAGCCAATCCTGAATTTGGGCCTTGTACAAGGCCCACTGGAGTCCATGGGAAACTTTCCATTGACTTTTGTGGGTTTTGCATTAGGCCTTTTTTTTGAACATTTGAAACTCCCATGTAGAGACATATGGATCAGACCTTCATATAACAAGCACCCGAAGACAATGGTCACCATTGAAAAGTCAGCATTTGCCAGTGGATACCACACAGCGACCAGTGATTTCTGATTCTAGCTACAGGGATAATTGTATCTCAGCTATTTCTTTGTGGTAACTGTTGACAAGTGGTAACTTTTTGTGGAGATGACTCTTGTCATAAATATAAAGGGAAGGGTAAACACCTTAAAATCCCTCCTGGCCAGAGGAAAAACCCTTTCACCTGTAAAGGGTTAAGAAGCTAGGATAACCTCGCTAGCATCTGACCAAAATGACCAATGAGGAGACAAGATACTTTCAAAGCTGGAGGGGGGGAAACAAAGGTTCTCTCTGTCTGTGTGATGCTTTTGCCGGGAACAGAAAAGGAATGGAGTCTTAGAACTTAGTAAGTAATCTAGCTAGATATACGTTAGATTCTGTTTGTTTAAATGGCTGATAAAATAGCTGTGCTGAATGGAATGGATATTCCTGTTTTTTGTGTCTTTTTGTAACTTAAGGTTTTGCCTAGAGGGATTCTCTATGTTTTGAATTTGATTACCCTGTAAGGTATTTACCATCCTGATTTTACAGAGGTGATTCTTTTACTTTTCTTCAATTAAAATTCTTCTTTTAAGAGCCTGATTGCTTTTTCATTGTTCTTAAGATCCAAGGGTTTGGGTCTGTCTTCACCTATGCAAATTGGTGAGGATTTTTATCAAGCCTTCCCAAGGAAAGGGGGTGTAGGGTTTGGAGAGGATTTTGTGGGGAAAGACGTTTCCAAGCAGGCTCTTTCCCAGTTATATATCTGTTAGACATTTGGTGGTGGCAGTGATAAAGTCCAAGGAAAAAAGGAAAACAGTTTGTACCTTGGGGAAGTTTTAACCTAAGCTGGTAAAAATAGCTTAGGAGGTTTTCATGAAGGTCCCCACATCTGTACCCTAGAGTTCAGAGTGGGGAAGGAATCTTGACAACTCTGATGTAGGTTACTTGGATCCTCTTTCTTTTCACTTAGAGAAAGGGGTGAAACCTTTCCATTTATTTACTTATTTTTACTAGAAAGTGAAGAATTTGTTTCGCCAGCTTTTAGACCTGCAGATATCTTTACAAAAATTCCAGGTAGACACACTGTTGGTGAAAATCCCATTAAACTAAAAACAAACTCACACTAATTTCTTCCTTCACTATGCATAAAGTCTCATCAGGTTTTAAAGAGTACCGTGTATATTTTGCCTTAGAAGCCTGTTTTTCCTAGCACACACACACTCTACTTCTTGCCTTTTTGAGTGTCCTTCTGTTGGCCTTAATGTAAAGCATGGTCAAAACCAAATTCTTTGAGACAAACACTTCTGGTTTTGGGGTGTGTTCACCACAACACAAACCAACATCACCATTTGGCAAATGACACCAATCTTTACGACAAGGCAAACTAAACCTCTGGATCTGAATTCCCCTGAAAGTCATGGTATTTGAAATTAGGGTCTGTAAACGGACACATATTTTTTTGGTTTGAGCCCCTCAGTAATCTAATGATGGTGTACCCCTTATAGCCAATCTCCTATTTCCTGTTTATTGCGGCCACTACAAGTCCCCAGGGCTCACATAGACTACGTGGGACTCTATGCCTTGCTCATCAGGACTGAGTAGCAATAAGGCTGCATTGTTTGCTTGTTTCTATTCAAACTAAACTTTACTGAGAGATCAGAGCAACTCCTGCCTGGCCCGTCAGAACTACTAAGTTATAGACTGGAGGAGAAAGAAGGGAATGGCACATTTGACCACATGGCACTCCCAGTCTCTGAATTTCTTTGTTACTCTGTACAGGCCCGTGTCTTGTAGCCTAAAGGAGGCCGAGGGTTTCACAAAGTTTAAAAATAAAGCACCCTCACCATGTTGCCTTTTCACTTTATGTGCAGAATGTTTTGCACAGCTCTAGGTGCTGGTGCGCCTCTAATCAGCCAGTCATGCATCTGGAATCCTACAGAGAGAAATAAACAATTCTTCAAAAAGAATCTAGTCAGTCCTTTTCCTTCTCTCTCTCTCTTTCTTTTTCACGATAATCCTCAGTCTGGCCTGGATGTTACAGCTTCAGAGCTGAGGACTGTCATCTGTGGTCTGCCACTCTCATAGCCATGCCATGAATGACACTTTAGTTCTGTGTTAATTGCCCTGCTGCAGCTCAGCTATCAGCCAGCCCCGTCTCAGATTTACTGATTGCAGACGCAACCTGAGCGAGTGAGCAAGCATGCAGCGGTCAGGGCTCAGAGAGGCCAAGTTCAAGGGCACACACTGGTACAGATGTATAAACAAGGGAATGGTATGTAAGCAATAAAGACACAAAGGTTAGGATCAGGGCTAGCAGTACAATAAACAGCTGTGATAACCCAGTTTGTTGATAGATAAAGAATTTACTGTAAAACCCTCAATGTGCAGGATACATTTTTTAACGCTTTAAGGGATGCATAATTTTTGACCCTCCTTTATTTTGTCTTCCACGTGCTCTGCAACTATCTATGAGCATCTTTAAATATATTTTTAATATATGTATAAATCAAGCTTGGGAAGTGCACGGCCATCACGCCAGCTAGAATTCTTTCCCATCAACGCCACTCCCCTGAAAATAATGCAACACCATTTATTCTGCAGGAGATTAAGATTGCTGCTGCAACAAATTCAGAGAGGCAGGTATTCTAGTCCTTAATACTTCTGTTTCCTATTAAAACCCCCATGTTTCAAGTAGGGAACTAATTTTTCCCAATTTAATTTTAATAAAATAAGAAGAGTAAGTAAAATTTTATCAGGGCTCCTGTAAATTTTGCCTGGTGTATATTTTGCTAAATTTACTTTTAAAATATATTCCAGGCAGTATCCAAGCATTTTGTAAAATTACTATTGTGGTTCTTAAGTGTCCTATGAGGCTCCCATCAGAAGTACAATATATTGTACTGTAACTATTGATCCAAATGGCTACATTTCTAAAACAGAAAATGATTGTGTAGTGAAAGCAGTGCAGAGGTGCAGTAAAATGCCCTCAAGTATATAAAGACATAAAGATTAAAGTCACCCTGCAGATTCCCTTTAACTCCTCCAAATCCACCATGTAATGTGTTCTTTTAGGATAAATCAAAAACTTTGTACAAATTAACATGACAGGTGCCAATGTTCATAAATAAGATTGCTCCTCAGCATCAGGGGATCAGGAAAAGTTTACTTTCCTTTAAATACATGCGAAGGCTGTTAATTAAATTCCCAGATGTCAGAGGAACATCTGAATATCTAGAAGGCAAAATAACACCCCAATATTTGTCAGACACAACACGTATTCTGGATAAGAAATTGAGACTTCAATACACAACTTACCCTAGAGTGTGCTTACCAACAATTTTCAGTTCTGTGGTTTGTCTTCAGTTTCAAGAAAGTTTAGACAATCTCAAAAAAAAAAAAAAAAGACAAACAATTAATATTCTGCAGCACCAAAATGTGATTGCTTAATTTTTATTTTTTAATGACAACCCTAGCTATTAGCATATATCTTAGATATGTTTAAGAAAATATAATTTGATACCAGGACAACTACATCCTCCTTTGCTCCTAAGGTTTACTTTCACATTAGCATTTGGATTTCTTTTTGGGTACAAAGTCCATTCCTGTCTTGAGTTCTCTGTAGCCCTAGAGCATAACCACTCGTACAGCAGCTAGAATAACAAGGCCCTGATCCTGATTAGGGCTTCGGAATGCCACTATAGGATGAATAATAAATAACAATAATTGGGAAAGATACAACCTTAAACAGCACAATATATGACTAGTCTGAGCTATGATCTCTATTTGGGGCCTGCGTCTCCTTCCATTGTATTCGATGATTAAACTCCCAGCACGAAATCCTGGCCCCAACAAAGTCAATGGTGAGACTCTTATGGGAATTTTGCATGTACATGGCCTTCAGGATCTCGTTAATGAAGCTAATAAATGTTATCAAAACATCTTTATGAGTCAAGTTCTTTGGCCAGAAGATGGAAAAAGAAGCTCTGTTATTGTGAGGCCATAGTCTGACTGGTGCCTTGTCCCTTCACAGTCAGCCTGAGCAGGTTATTTATGAGCAGCATGAGTAATTTGGACAGGAGTATATTTGTCTGGACCAAAGTGTGTATTATTAATTATTATTTGTATTGTGGCAGCACCTAGATGCCCCAGTCAAAAATCAGGACCCCATTGTGGTCAGTGCTGCACAAAAACAAAATGACCAGGTTTTCCCAGCCCCAAATTGCTTACAGTCCAAGTTTATGACTGAAAAAACAGGTAGATACAAGCAGGCAGATGGGGCAGATATTACACAAGGTAACAGTGAGAGGATTACAGTTAAAATAATAAGCAGTCGATACAGCACACCAGCTGTCTAGCCATAATCAAGTGTTTTGGAGGAATCATGATGGAGGTGAGTTTTAAGGAGAAGGAGGTAGTGGATTTTTATGGGGCTCTCTTTCTCCATGCAGGGGGCAGCATGGGAGAAAGTGGGGTGGTGCATGTGGAAAAGTTGATTAACAGACAATAGAGGGTGACATGATGGGTGGACAAGAGGCAGGCATCGATGGCGCCATACCATATAAGGGATAAGGAGGAGGGTGGAGCTAAAGCCATGAAGGGCCTAAAAAATGAAGACAAGTATTTTGTGCTGGATGTGGTGATAAAGGGTTAGCCAGGGGAGGGAAGCAAAGAGGGAGGATAACATGGTTGAAGCAATGAAATAGGAAGCTTATATTTATATTAAAACCCATGAATTGTGCCTTTTGGTGCTTGACCTAAGAGCATCCCACTTCAGTCCCCCTTGCAGAAAACTCTTTGTGTGTTTGAGGGAATAGAATCAGGGTAGAACACACCCCACTGTGTGTACCTTCTGTCTGCCACTTTCCAGAAAATATGAAAGCACAAGTCAAAGCCAGAATTTGGCTCAGTGTGTTGAAATACCACTGTATATCTAAATGAAACCATACATTACCTGCACATTCCAAAATGCTGTAATAATGAATTAGTATACAAAGAGCCTTCAGGTACTTCCCAAGAAGAGTCCTTTTAGAACCTAGAAAAATACCCTCAAACTTTCTCACAATTCGTTTTCAAGGATCCCAGGGACTATAGATCCATCCAGTGAGGTGCTATAGCAGCCTCTGTTGACCCCATCTCTCTCACACACTCTTCAGCATTCCGCAGACTGAACCAGAGACAAACACAGGAAGGAGAAACAGACAGACTGGGCAAGATGCATCGAGTTCCTAGCAGCAGAGTCTTACTTTATTCCACACATCTATCTGAGAAATACATTGCTGGCGGGGGACCCTCGCTGGTTGTCAGAGGGATCATTAGTGCCTACAGCCAGCCTCAAAGCTACTATTTTGGCACTTAGAAGAAATTAAGAGCTAAGAGGAAAAAATAATAAGGATAAATACCTGGATCTCACCTCCTCAAACATGTAATGTAGAGAAAGATTTTGTGTGTGTGTTTTAGCATGGAAATATTTTCTCCCTTTGAAATAGGCTGCCCTGTGCTATGGTGCAGTTATTATTTGGGAATTCAGATTTACAGGGATTTGCTGCCTGGCCGATAAAGCCAGGAGGAAATATAGACATGCATAAATGACATATTTTCATGCTTTGTGCAAACCACCCTGCAAAGCACTTTTGAGCAGCTAAGCAATTTACATCTAATAGCAAAGTGTTTTTTAATCAGTCAGATCAATTTGTGAAGAATTGGTACATTAGGTGTAACCATATAGCAGAGATCCTTATAGCAAAGATTTAGAAGTAATTGCTCCCTGACCCAATGAACAGTGTATTACTATAGAAGTTTGTATTCTATTAAGAGTTAATAAGTGACCAAGATCTAGACTAATACACTGTCAGGGTTCATTATCATTACAGGTTCTTGCTATTTTTTCTAGTGCCTTTTGCTCTGCCCTTCTTGCTACATATGGAAAACCTATATCAAGATGGTTGTCATGGCAATGAAAAGATTTGCATGTGTCTTATCTATCTATTTAAATACCTTCTTATGGTTTATAACTACCATAATACATCCCTCCAGCCTGGCTCATTGCTAATTTAGAGTTAGCCTAGTGTGTCTGAGGTCAGTGATACCATCTAAAGCATGTTGTCTAGACAACTCTGAAGCCACTGTCCATGGGGTAATTGTTTTATGCAAATAAAAAAGTACAATGGTGACATGTTCATCCACTACCCGTGCAATCTGATTGAGCCATGTTGGACTGTATGCAGAGAATTCGTAATCATGTACTCTGCGTAGATGTTTGTTCCTGCATTAGGCAACTACCTCTTGGCTGCACTTTGGAGGGCGGGGGGGCGGAATTGACCATTTTTTGATCATGTCTCTAATGTAGATATTGTAGTACTTGGCTGGTGTGTGATACTAAAAATTGACACTGCAAAAATCCTTTTTAAAAAATTAGTTTGTCCTAAAATTATTCAATAAATTGAAGACAGCTTTCTAAAATTCTGCTCAATCACTTGCCTGGGGTGATTCATTTATTCTGATGGGCGAATAAAACAGCTTTCTCTCCCTCACTCTTCTACTCCCCCATGATTATCGGTATCTTCATGGTAAGGGTATGTGAGCAGATTTTGTGCCTAGGCTGGTAAGGTTTCAAGACAGTTTTGCAAGGGTGATTTCAATATGTTTAGCTAAAATTATTCAAGCTATATATCTGGCACAATTCTTAGCTCTTTCTTTCTTTTATGTCTTTATTCATATATTTCAGCCATTCAACTTCACTGAAATACATTGGGCTAGGTGAGCTTTTTGAAGAGACAGAGTGGAAAACGGAAAAGTATTTTGCTAATGGAATAAGAAGTGTTGCTCCTCAACAGAGAACCTATATTACTCTGTTGCTTTCTTTTTTTCTTTTACTTTCCTCTCCTTAAGGAGTTTGTGATTTGCTGCTGTATTCAAATGGTAGCAAAGGTAAATGTGGCTATTACTGAATAAATCCATCACACATAGAAAACATTGTGCAGTCTGAAAACATGAAAAGAGATGACAACAACAAATAAAGACCTCCCAAATCCTAAAAATGACTACATAGAAAAATGAGACCAGTTCACTCCTGTTTAATCTTGTTAGTTTAGGGCTGTGGTTTTGTTAAGAATTTCATTGATAAAAGCCACTTCTAAAAGTACTTTAAGAGCTACTCAGATGCATTTTCTGACAAATTATATCTTGATGCTCACAAAGATTAAAAAAAAAATACTGAGGATACATAGTACTTTGGTAATGGACTGATTTGCTATCTGCCTTTGAAATTTTTGACCGTGCTTGCAAGCAAAAGATTTTATTTTTAGATAATTTATGTCATTATTCATAGTCTTAGGAAAAGCTAACCTATTCTTGTGGTAGCAAATCATGAACCATTTACCCTGACAATACAGTTAGACAGTGTTTACATGTAGGACTACAATCATTGTTTGACTAATCCGTAAAGGGTAGATTTTCTATTGCATTTCAATAAGCTCATCTACTTCAGTCTGTTGAGAACTTTCTAAAGATGCGTTTTCATTTATAATAGCAGATCTTGGAGTGTGGTAATCTGGAATTGAAGTTTCAGTGACAGATTTATTCAACTAGCACTTTGCATGAGGCATTGCTGCAAACATTATTTAAGAAAATACATACATAAAACTGACAAAACCTTCCAAAGATAATTTCTGCAATTTAGTAAACTAAGGATTTCAAGTCAAGCTTCAGTTTCCGGGTGTTTTTCATAATGGCTTTCACAGCAGATGACCTGACAGCTAATCTCATGATCTGAATCGCGCTTTGCAGCATATACACAAACAAACCCCCGTCAAATACTCAAAGGATCACACTGCTTTCACATGACATGTCTGCAAGTTAGCGCTGCAAATGTCCAGAGGTCCAGACTGACCTCTTGACCTCCCGTCTGGGAAACATTCCTACTCCAGGCAGCTCATTCTTGACAACAAACAGAGCAAGACCACTGGGCACATTTTGAAAAGGAAAAAGAGAACAGCCATGAATGGAGTGTGTCTGGTACAACAATGACAGACAATGAGTGTGAATAGAACTGCAAACTGTGCTCCTGCTAAAAGAGCTGGGAGCATCTTCCTTGCTTCCCTCCCCCTTTGCACCATACACCCACTGCCAGTCCTTTTCAATATTTTTCCCTTTTACAAATATATTAAATACTTGAGCCACCTCAAATATCCAACCAGTTCAAGTAACTTTAATTTAAGAATGGAAATACAAGTGATAGTGCTGTCAATAATTTGGTTGGACTAGATGACCTCCAGAGGTGCCTTCCAACCCTGATATTCTATGATTCTATATGAGTTCTCAGACCTGTCTCCCCCTCTGCCCCATCTAATCTGTGTTTAAATAATGTTACAAATGGTGACTACAAC